GATTGTGCTAGGGCGCTTGTGAAAGATGAGTCCATCAAACTTAATACCGAGCCGCCGATCAAGACGAGTCCGGGTCATCGTCGCGATGCCGACGTGAACGGTGTCGACGGTGATACAATGATGACGGATGGAAAGGATGGAGATAAAATGAAGATTCCTGATGACCTCCCCCGCCCTAATCTCCCTAATGAAGGACAGCAGTCGTCATTCCTCCTTGACTGGTTTAGCCTTTTCTGGGATTTCTTCTGGGCTCAGCGCAAGAAGGGAAACAGCAATGACGTGAGGAGTTATCTTACACACACCCAGGTACGTGCTCTTTACTCTTTGCCGCCTGTCCGGACGTCTAACTGAGGCTTTGTAGAATATGATGCGCCTCAGGGAACAACATCAGAATCAATTATTACGACAGCAGCCACTGATGAATGGACAGATGGGCCAAATGAATATTCGCCGGAACGGCATGGTCCCCCCTAATCTTCAAAAGACTGTGTTGCAGAATAATACTTCTGGCCTGTACGCGCCCCCTTCCCTATCTCCTGCGCCACCTCGCAAGAGCGTTCGGACTACATTGGTGCTGACTGCGTCTTTCACAGATCGCAACAACAACTCGCCCAGATGCATAAAAACCAGCAGGTCCAGCTGATGCAACAGATGCAGCGAGAGCATTCGGACATGGACATGAACGGCCATCGACCCCAGTCCCCCGCATCGGCAGAAAATGCCCCGTCTCCGTCGAAACGACCTCGCCTCGAGGGTGGCCCCATGAACGGGCAGCAACTGGCACCCAACGGACGCGGTCAGGCCCAGGGTATCCCCGGCCAGCCCACCCCGCAAGCACTTTTGATGCAGAACGGACTCAATCGGGCGATGAACCCCAATCAGTTCCAGGCTTTCCAGCAGTCGGGACCGGCTGCGCAGCAGAAACAGATGCAGGTATATGCTCACAACTTGGCCGTTCATCACACACGCTCAGCATTGACGAACCAGGGCATGCCGAATGGTATGATGAATCCCGCGAATGTCATGGCAAACCCGCAGACGGAAATGGTGTCCATACCGGAAGGCCAGGTGTATCCCATCAACGGTGACTACTATGGCGCGAATGGTCAAATGGCCCAGGTTCGGACGGGGATGCAGACACCTGGCGGTCAGCACGGCAACCACGCTCTCCAGGATTATCAGATGCAACTTATGCTGCTCGAACAGCAGAATAAGCGGCGTCTGATGATGGCTCGCCAGGAGCAGGACAGCATGGCTCGGCCTGATGGCCAACCCCCAATGCCCGGGCAGCAGTTGCCACCAGGCACCTCGCCCCAAGGCAGCAGGGCTGGCACATCGCCGAATCCCAACGACCAAATGAAGCGAGGCACCCCGAAGATGCCCCAGACCGGCCTCCCCGGATCACCGAGCGCTGCCGACGCGATGGCCCAGGGCCGTGGATCCCCGGCATCCATGAACTTCCCTGGTGGCCAGATGCCTCCCGAGATGGCGGGTCCCCAGTTCTTCGTCAAGAACATGGCTGATGGTATGGCGGCGCCCAACGGCATGCGCCCCCCGAGCTCCAATCCTGCGTTCAGCGCCCCTCAGATGGGTCAACCGATTCAGGCTGGTGCTGGCAATCGCATGCCCAACGGAGGTTGGCAGCCGCAGCAAGGAGCTCAGGGCCAGCCGATGGCGCCGCAGCAGTCGCCTGCGACCCAGCCTCAGTCCACGGGAACGCCCCAGGAAAGGAATGCCATGCCGCCGCCCCAAGCTCCCCCAGCACCTGGTGCCAACGTCGGTCGAACCCAGCCTCCGTCGCCCCAAACCGCCGCTCCGCCGACGCCGCAGCAAGGCAACAAGCCCGCTCCGAAGAAGAAGGAGACCAAGGATAGCCGGAAGGTATGTAATCAACGCTCTTGGTTGTTGACCCCCCTTGTCATCTCATATTGAACGCAAATCTTAGCGACCGAAGAAGGGCGCTGCTGCTGCTGCCGCCGCCGCCCAGGCGAACACGGCTGCCACGCCATCTTCCGAAGCAGAACACCCGCCGACCCCTACGCCGTCGACGCCGATCACGCCCCAGCATCCGAACTCGTTCAACAAGGCCGGTGCAAATGCTACGACTAGTGCTCCGCAGCAGCCAACGTCTGCCCCTGCACCTCCGCCACTTGTTCAACAGCCTCCGGACCAGACGCAGCAGCCTTTCAATGAACTGAGCATCCCTGATGTATGTTCCTTGCCTCTTTCGTTATGTTCGGTGGATATTATACTTACATTGTTGAGCAGGCATCGGCTTTCAACCTGGACTTCAGCGCTTTAGAAAACCCGGACATCCTGGAGAATTTCGACTTCGATACGTTCCTCAACACTGATGCAGACACTGCTGGATTTGGATTTGACCCCAACATATCGTATCCAACCGATGGTGTTGAGACCGGTGCCGGTGATGGCTTGTGAAATGAAGTCCGACGGTTGTTAAGTCCTTAACTCATATACCCTTGTTCTGTACATTTCCATAAACTTGAGTTCGTGCTTGTGCTTCTTTGCTTTTTGCTTTTCATGTGTCCTTTTTTTTTCTCTGCTTGTTTTCGCATCGCGTCTTCTCCTATCCTTGTGTTCTGTCGACATGATTTGGATATGTGCCCAAGTGACTAGGCGTTGGTGTATCCTCTTTTCCTTTTGCATATCCTTTCTTTCACTCTGCCAACCAGAAGTGTCGACCGGCTTCCGATGGGATTTGCTTGATTGCCCTGCTTGTATTCAAGCTACGTTCCAGTGGCCTCGTGTGACTGCTTTTTATATCCTCTTATCACTATTACTACTTGATTAATCTGGTCATCAAACTTCTCAAAGGGCCATCGAGTGATGCGTTTCTCCACCATCCTAGCGTTAGTCATGCTCCATTTAATGCTCGAGAATACTTACATCACAAGATGCGCCCCTGGCCCTTTCTTTCTTCTTTCCTTTTCTTTCTTCAACCAATCTCTTTCCCTTGACAACCCTTTTCTTTTTCTCTTTGCGGTTTGATTCCATTTGAATCTTCTTATTTATACCTTCTCCTTCTACTTCTTTATATTACTTATTTCCTATGTTGATCTCCTTATCGTGTTGTGGCGTTATAATCAACGAGGCTCTAGTCGTTATTGACTCCTCTCAGGGAAATGGTTTCATGAAATCGAGAAAGATACTCACGTTCTTCTCTGCTGTTCTTTTTCTCCTCTCTTGACTGACTTAACTCTCTTGCTACCGTATCACATTAAATCGAACTGCCTGCTTCCTGCCGTACATTTTACTGCGCTGCTGCTGCTACCTAAGTCTACCTTTACTGCCTGCAGTTATTCCAGCCTTTTAAACCAGATCCGTCCGGAAGACACGTCTCGTCTCGTCTCTGTTTGATATTGGTGTATGAGTGTGTGAGTGTGTATAGGGAACCAGGCCAAAAGCGAACTTCTGGAGTACTTTGAACCAAGATTCATCAGTCTATGTAATTCCCTCCCCTTTCGTACATAGCTTATTATATAGCTAGTTAGCTTACTTTATATCTGTCCTCTGAGGGTAGAATGATAACCAACCGATTGCTTGGTGTTAGCTCTATCAATACAAGAGATTACTTCGCAGTATGACAACGCTCACGCTATAGTCGAAAGTAACTAGTTCATCGTCAGCACAAGCTGCTTACTGCTTACTGCAGCTAGTTAACTAGCTAGCTAGCTAGCTGCATGGCTGCACATCTGCATGCATACATGTAACAGGTCAAATCAAAACCCTTCTCTACTTAATAAGAAGTACCATAATAATATGCCATCTATCATCGAACCATCTAATTCAGAGTTGGAACTTAAAATTACTCGGTTGATCACACCAAGGTGAACTAGGGACACTGCTGCTGCTAGTATTATCATCATCATCATCAGTATGATATATCAGCTACTTACTACATACTACATACAGCCTGTTGGTGATATCATCACTGACAGTAACTCTACTTCAGGTCATGATCTCCAACTTACACCATCTATGTATGTATGCATGTCTCTGTTATCCCCCCTACACTGACTTGCCTAACCAACCACTAATATAGATAGTAAGTAGGTAATGATAATGGTAATGGTACCCATCCCCTTCAACACCACCAGACGTATACATACCAAAAGGGTATGGGGGATGACACTGCGAGCTTGTTTCTGCTGAAGAGGAAATCAAGCAGGCAGGCAGATGGTATCGATTCGTATGCTGTTGATTACTGGCTTATTTCAGGTTAGTTTTATTTTTACTTGTTAGTAGACGGAGAAGAAGTGTAGGTGATGTGATGATGTCTGTGCATGTTAGGTACGTTGGTAGAGAATATCATCGCCTAGAATGTCGGGATCGTGGTGGGAGAAGAATAATTTTTGACAACCGACGTCTGATAATGAGTCTTTGAGATGTTAGGGAGGACAAGGCATTGATTTTCGCTGAGAGCAGCGAAAGTGACATGAACACAATAATTTGAGAACGGAAGGCATGTAAAGAAACAAAAGACTGCTCATCGTTGTTCGTTATGCTCAATATCTGAGGATACTAGTCTGTGGATTCTGCAAGCTATACTAATGACACTCACTACCCTCCAGCTGCTGCTATCACCACTTGACTAAGAACATTGAATGCTAAAACAAACATCCTGGGCTGAAAAACATGACTAACTGACACATCCACACGTTTCACCCCAAGCAAATTCAGTATCCGTAGCAATTGATATAAGGTAACGAGAGTTCATCGGTCATGACTGGACCTCAACATCGACGCCCTATGTTAAAACTCGTTAACAGCCGAATCGATAAACAACAGAAGCTGACGAAGTAGGGAAAAGAAGCAAGCAGTGCACTGGAACTAAATGCCTATCTTGACCATATAAGAATAATTCAATCATCTCAGTGACTGTTACAGTGCTGGCCCAGCAAGCTGGAGTCTAGAACAAGGCAGTCACCAAGCCTAGCGTTCATAAGTGGATTTTTGAGCTAGCAGAAGACCGTGCCACCCTAGGAAATGGGAGAGACCTCTGCACGGGCAGAACCTGTAGATGACTTGCGGCTGGACCGAGTTGGGGTTTCCACACCTCCGCTGGTACGCACCACCAGCTTGGAGGGGCTTTCGCGGGATTTCTCGTTCACTTTGAGTGGCGACCCCCCCAAAGATTCATTGTCCTTGGTCTGGGACATGCCCTCCTTGCGGCTTTTGACGCGTGGGCTAGGGGTAGCATGAATCTTGGTAGTTGCCGCTCCCTCAGCCGTTGCCTCCGAAGCAGCGGTGGATTTAGTGCTGGACCCAGACGCTTCTCTGGTTCCAGGCAATGAGATCTCCTTCAAGATCGACGTCCGGCTGCTGCCTTTGGTGTAGGGTGCAGAACGCGCTTCAGCAGCTGCAGAAAGCTTATTTCCCATGGGTAAAGCAGTAGAGGGGCTATTGGTGGGTGCAGCAATGCCGAACAGGGCCAGTGGCTTTGGCGGACTCAATGCTTCAATCAGCTGCCGGTATGACTCCTCATCGACGGGGGTTACTATGCTGGGATGTTTGCTATGCTCGTAGCTAATGCCCGTCATGCTGGAGATGGCGCGACTACTTCCAGAGCTAGAGATATAATCAGGCATGGGAATATCCTCGCAAGATGATCGTGCACCTCGATGTCGGATAACAGGGTCGGTGAAGGGATCTGGCATGCATTGGCCTTGCCACTGGGGTAGAGGCATCTGAATTGATCTTTGATAGTTTCGATATGCCCAGGAATTGCCTGAATGGCTGCTTACTTGGCTTCTGGGGGCCAACATCCGACCCTGAGCACCTTGCTTACTGGGAGAGTGGGCGTGTGAGTCTTCTGCTGTCAAATTAGCAGGATCAATGCCCGAGTTGTACTTGAAAAGCCGTGGCTCCCGTGTCCACATCGAAGGGTTCGGCCAGGCGATGTTTGAATGCTCCAGGACCTCTACACTCAACGGGTCAGTGTATCTATGAAAAACGATCTTCTAAATTAAGCACTTACGCAGTGGAGCATGCTGGAAGGCAAACGCGACGATCTCCTTGACTCTCTCGAATGGTGGATAGCGGTGTGGGCGACAAAAGCCCTCAGCAATCACAATTCTAATCCTACCATATAGCTCAGCTGCATCCCAATGTCTCTGCTCTAGAATCTCCTGGTGGAATGGAGGGAAACGGAGGCTATCCTGATTGCCAGTCTTATCGACGTCTAAAATCTTGCTGTTAGGTGATGTTTTGTGAACAAAGGTGGAATGCGAGAGGATTGGTGCAAAGCATACACGAACTTAGGTCTAAAGACGAGACAGCAAAGTCAGCTATAAATTCGGCAACAGAAGGATCACTTCTTCTCACCAATAACATGAGGCCACCCTGATCTCTGATGGAAAACGCTACCCCTATGGCACACAAAGGCTCAGTTCATAGCCTCCGGTTGGAGGCTCGGGCAGGCACCTACGAGACACACAGGCCATCAATAAAGACCCGCACCTCGAAAAGCACTGCATCATCTGGCTGCAAGAGGCTTTCTATCAACCGACTGGGTGTGGGCTTCTGCCAGCTATGAACGGACACACGGAATGGGGTGTTGTGACGCAAACTTGGGACGAAAGTAGTGAGAACTGGCAACTGGCCCTCATTGCTCTGTGGCAGAGGACAAGTAGCCGGACTGACAAGACCGGGACTATGCAAGTAGGGTGAATCTGGTAGATATATTGGAGGTTAGCAATAGACTAAGCCACGAATTTACTCCAATCTTCGACGACACTGACCCTTATCCTTGGTGACGAAACATTGGGTCTTGAATTCCTGAATGGGCACCTTGGACGATTCGGGGAAGAGAATCACGTCCCAGTCTTCGTACCGCATTCTGGCAGGCCCAAGGACTATTGTCTGCGAGTTAAAATGAGGAAAATGGAAGAGATTGAACCTCGATCAGGGACTAAGATACTAAGAGTAAAGAGAACTGAACCAATCCGAGTGGAAGGGAGGGGGTTCCTAAGAGAGAAGTAGGTATCTCCTCCACCACGACGAGGAGACAGTAGAATGAAGGCATCAGAGGGCGAGCAGACAGAGGAGAAGATGCACCGGGATTCGCACCTGCCAGACTGGCTAGATCAGGGAGTACCTGCCTCATGAGGACATCCCGTTCGAGTTGAAAAGATTACAGACAAACCCGGACTAGATGACCGGATTTGGGAGGGCAGGTACGAACCACAAGACAGACCAAAAGAGTACTACCAAGACAGTAACAAAAGGGAGAGAGATGAAAAAGATGATAATGCAGACCTGGCGACATGCGCCCAATTCAGATTGTTTAGGCATCTATTATCGAGTCCCATGTACACGAGGGAGGAGCAGATGCGAGCAAACATGCTCAAAAACTGCCATGCTCGCAATCGCGGTGCATACACACAAAGGCAAAGTAGTCGGGGAAAGGAACACAGAGCTCACTGCAGAGCGAAGGGGGAATCATCCGTAAGAATAACGACTAAATGAACATGCCAGTTTTGGAGCTGACGCTGGAAACAACACCACCCTCCTCGGTGACACAAGGAAAACAACCAGACTTACGAACGCCCCTCTCCCAAACCGTGATTTGTTTGTTCACAACAGGATGCCGCCATCAGTGCCCGAGGATAGGTAGGAACAGAAAAACCACCCACCACCCAGTAACTACAATTGAAACGAAGAGATAGACGCATTAGGAAGGGCCCCGTCCTGTCATAAAATCATCAACACCAGCCCCAAGTCCCACACACCTGGCAGGGGGATAGAGAAAAGTACACAACCCAAGCCGTCCAAAACATCCGCGGAACGCGCCAGACGCAAGACGGGGGAAGGACCTAGCAAAGGACCACCGCATGGAAAGAGCGAGAGAAAGAACTGTGCTCCATAATAGACTGAATTGAGAGAAATAAAAGGCGAGGTGGAAACATGTTGTACAGGCCGCCCGGTCTAAGAAGCACGACGTAACATCCTCACAACGAAACAAGAATACGATTGGATTGCTTCATGAAAAAGGACTTCAGCAGAGGAACTTTTCGCAGAAAGCCTGCCCAGGGAATAAAGGGGGGGGGGGGGGGAACACCGCACGCGCATGCAACAATTCCGATTGTCGTCATACGCATAATAACATAGACCTAGGGCCCGAAGACGTGAGGAGAATGTAAAAAGCGGGCATGGGATAAAGGGAAGAAACGGGGGAAACATATGAGAATTGGGGAGAGTGGCGAAGGAAAAATTTGGGGGAGGTTTAAGAAGGGGGAATGGGAGAACAGAAGAATAGTAAAACGTGAAGATAGATAACGATGAAAATCAGAGCTCAAATCTGGCTAACAATGGAAGCGCTCGCATATGAAGTACGTAGCACAGGAGAAAATGCCCATCCAGAGCTATAGAGGGTAACTTTCGCAGAGATCATGGCAGACTTATAACACAAAAGACCCATCGTGAAATGACAAAACTCCTGCTGGTTCTTTCAAACTAAAATGGAAAGCTCTTTTACTAAGTCTGGGCGTTAGTGATGCTCTGAACCCCACCAGCCTCGGAGGGAGAGTTCAAGGGGAACCGACCTTCATAGGCGCGAAGCCGCCGTATCCGTGAGCGGGAGGCATGCCCATGGAGGGGTACATGGGAGGCGGAGGGGGAGCAGGGCGGTAGGGGCTGCCGGCAGGGCCAGAGTTGTTCTGAGAGCGACCCCAGCTCAGACGCACACGGGAGTTTCCAATGGGGTATCCCTGCATCTGGTTGATGGCCATCTCAGCAGCATGGCGCTGGACGAACTGGACGAAACCGCAGCCCTTTCCAGGGGGGATCTTGACGTAGGTGATTTCACCGAAGCCCTGGAAGAAAGAGCGGAGCTCATCCTCAGTGACGTAGCCAGAGAGGCCGCCAACGAAAACGGTGGTGTTGTTGGGGTCGGTGAACTGGTTCATGGGCTGGGGAGCACCGTAGAAGCCCATGGGGGGAGCGCCCATGGGAGGGTACATGCCCGCGGGGCCGGGCATGCCCATAGCACCGGCAGCACCAAGGCTGGGACCCTTGTTCTTGGGAGTAGCGGTAGAGATGCGCATGGGACGGTTGCCACAGTATACACCCTGCATCTCGCTCAGAGCACGCTGCTGGTCGTTCTCATCGGAGAAGCGGACGAAGCCGTACCCACGAGACATGCCGCTGATGGGGTCGGTCATGATCTTGGCGGACTTGCAAGACGGGAAGCGGCTCTGGAAGAGAGAAACGAGGACGTACTCGTTGACCTCGGGGCCCAAGTCACCAACGAAGATCGAGTACTCAGGGCCACGGTCATCACGGCTATTTGACAAGTTAGCTTGTGACCTCAGGACATCTATGTGACGTCTTCTCCTTACCTGCGGTCGGCAAGACCACCACCGGTAGCCCAGTTGAGCTTGAACAGACGGTTGGTGTTGGGCATAGGGGTGCCGTTCAGGGACAGAGCCTTGGCGGCGGCGGCAGGGGACGCGAAGTCGACGAAGCAGTAACCGGCGTTGCTCCTACTACCAACATTAGGATCGCCTTCATATTGAATCCAGTGTGATTATGTACTCACCCAGAAAACTTGTCGCGGATCATCTTAACGTTGACCTGCTCACCCATCTGGAACCAGAGGTTGCGAACGAAGTTCTCATCGATCCAGGGCTCAAGCTCACCCATCCTAAACGGCAACAGTCAGAGACAGCACGGACAAGAGATACTGCATTGGGAAAGCTTACCAGAGGGTAGTCTTTCCCTCGTTGGCCTGCTGGGGAACAGGGGCAGCAGAGGGCTCCCCGGGAGCAGGACCCTGGAAGGGGGCGGTAGTAGGGTCAGCCTGGCCGGTCATGGCGGTGTCCGCGGTAGCAGGAGCGCCAGGAGCGGCAGCGGCGGCGTCAGCAGCAGGGTGCTGGTTTTGGAAAGAATCAAAGTTCTGGAAAGACATGTTTGACATAAAAATTCGACTTTCGTAAGAATAACTGCGAGATAGGTATCTAGAAGTCCAGCATGAATGTTAGTAACACTTTCAACGAGTGAAAAGGATCGAGTGCTGGCCAGTCGCTGTTGCGCGTACCTTAGTGCAGGTAAAAGAGCAGAAACCCAAGCAAACAAACTTTTCTATACCGAAATTGGCCCGTGCGAATGGGGTTTCGTAGGATTCGTCAAGGAAAGAACTGCGTGCGATCGTTCAGACTTGAAATGACTATTAGTACCAGAGAATTGACTTCAGGAACGAAGGTCCTTGGGTAGCAACAAGAAAGAATTCAAAATTGGCGAGGCAGGAAAGCACGAGTAAATCAGAAATAAAGGGGAAAAAATGGGAAAGATGCCCGATCCACAAGTTCGCGGTAGCTCAGATAGAAAGCATTGACGGAGCGGAGGATAGTTGAATAGAACGTGAAGAATTCCCCAGGATGGCGGCCGGCAGAAAAATTGATTGAACGAGCGACTCGGTGAAAGTTGGGACAAGACGAGAAGTTGGGTTCAGCCTTGACTTGCAGGCCAGCTCCGTCAGGTGCCAAGACTCAGGTTCCTCGGGTGGTTGCAATGAAATAGCCGGAAAGGTACAAGATCCATGGAGTGAATCGAACAAAACCGGAAGAGGTGTGGTAGATCAGAGGTGACAATGCGTGAATAGCCAGAAATAGGCGTTGTCACCATAGCATGACCGCGTTCGTCGAGGATACACCCAGAGAAGGCCACATCCGCTCCGGTTGCGACCGACCCGATCGATCCACCCAATCTTCAGCGGACCTGCACCACAAAAGCCATGCAACAGCCGAGACGTATTTCCAACCATTCAGAAAGCGAGGCGCAGAAAGGGCCATGGACGAGTTGATGGTTGAGCGACCGTCCGAAACTCATCGTGAAATAGATCAGGGCGAGATAATCGTAAGGCGCAAATTGGTCGCTGACAGACCGTGCCGGACGGAAGTGGAAAGTCATTTTCGACGACCCGGATGCAGAGCAATCGGTGGACATGTTCACCCACAGCCGACTAATTCAACCAACGTCGCCTCCAGCGAATCGGTAATTCCATGCTTCTGGATGCATGAGAAGCGATGATGGACCCGAGACAGTGGTAGTCGATTTTCCGTCGCAACCACACACAACTAGGCACCGGAACAGGCAGGGAAGGGGAGAAAAGTGAAAAGAAGCGGGAGAAAGAAAAAACAAAAAAAACAAATATGGCGTACGAGTCGATGCGAAACTCAAAATATTAAGAGAACAGTAACAACTTACCAGGTAATGAAAAGCGAAGCGTTGAGTTGCGTTGCTTTGGGGATGGCGCAAATAGCAAGGATGCGTGGAAGACTCGGGCGTCAGAGAAATCAGGAACTGTAGAGAACTCAAGATAACTCCGGCGAGGTGGAGAAAAGATAATAAGAAATTCAAGAAAGAGAGGAAAAGGCACAAAGAAGAGTTACAGAAGAACTATCCGCAAACCAACTCCGTCTTTTCCGATAGAAACAAGGGAACGGTAGAAGGACTGGAAGGAGGGAGAGATATTATGGGGGGGAGGGGAGGGAAGAGAGAAAGAGAAGAGAGAAGGAAGAAGAGAGGAAGAGGCGAGGAGGGGTAGAAGAAAGATTATTCTTCAGGATGGAGGGGAGGGAAAGGGAAGGGAAGGGAAGGAAAACGAGGGAAAGAATGGCTACTACTACGTACTACTGCTAGGGCAGACCAGGGACGGGAGAAAGCAGAAAATCGTTTAGACGAACAAACCAAAACCCAATAAGAATAATGAATAATCCAGCACACAAGCACCCAAAGGCACGCAGGAGCCAAAGCAGGTCTTGGGTTTGGTTTACTGGGGCCTACTTTTCTTGCTGCTTCCAGCTACTGCTTGGTGCTGCTGCTGCTGCTGCTGCTGCTTAGTGCTGCTTCTGCTTGCTGCTTGGTGCTGCTGCTACTACTGCTGCTGCTAAACTACTACTGGGACTGTGAGGAGATGAGGGGCGGGCGCAGCAGCAAGAAGCGCTACCAGCTGGGTGGGACGAAAGTTTGCCGACTCAGGAAAGGCTCTGACGGGGTTTTCTTTTGGGTCGACTTTTCTTCCTTTTTTTTTCTTTTTTCCTTTTTCTTTTTTTTCCTTTTTGGTATTTATTTAATTCTTTTTTATTCAAGTGAATTTTTATTTTATTACTACTTCTATTTCCACTTTGTATCCCATCTGTTCCTCGACAGCACTTTTCTTTACTTTCTTTTCCTTTCCTCTGAGTTAGTTAGTAACTAGCCAACAGCAAGAAAAAGTGAATGAAAAAAATAAATAAATAAAACAGAAAAATAGAGAAACAGAGGAAGAAAAAAAATAGAGGACCGGGCCTTGTCGATCTGGATTTCATCCTGGCGGGAATCGTGTGGCCGTGGCGGGAAATAATGATGATACATACACAGATACATACATACATACACCCACACCCACACACACACAGTCTGGAAAGTAAGTATCTAAGTAGTATTGGTATTGTCTTGGTATCCAGCATTCAGGTTGGAATTGGATTGTTCTATCGGGTGTACGACCTTGCTGGATGTATGTTTTAGATCATGATCCAGATATCGACTGCAGAGTTCAACAACGAATATTGCTAGAGTCTTATCTTGTCTCTTTGTTTCTTAAGATGATCTCACTCATACAGTAGTTTTCTCACAGCCATACGTAGCCATGTTTATTTATCACTTCCCATTGAATTAGTATTCATGATGCACCAAATGACTGCTGTATGTTGATGGATCTTGGTGGTAAGTTAGGAAAAAGAGCTACTTAAATTACTTTACCTATAAAAGGTACGTACCTTCACGACGGATACCTGCCTACCGTGCTTGCTGCGACAGACCCAATACAGAGAAGGTGTTAATCCCAGGGCCATGCAGTGGATACATCCACCGTCGACGGACCCAACCCAACCAAACTACCCTGCGACCAGATGACTGCTGCAGCCTGCGGGTTTGCAACCTGACATGGTCCTTATTTCCATCGCATGCAATAATTTTTGTACTATCCTCTGGTACTTGAACAGCCCTAGGCAATAAAGTCTGCATTCTTTTCTTTTTTTTCCCCTTCTTTTGATTTCATTTTTTATCTCTCCTTTACTTATTCAATAGTTTTCGCTCTTTCGTTTATCGCATGATATTGCTGGTGAATGGAATATGCCGATAACTTGGAAATCAATGAAGCTTAAAAAACCGCCGGGCTTTTTGTAACGTACCCATGGCCTGGGGTTCTGTCTAAACCAAGTGTATACATACCACAACTTGATCTATCTGTCCATAATCTCGTTCCGATACGTCAGTGAGAAACAAGAGATTTGATAACGATCTCTCAAGAATCATGTAGGGAGGGCAGCATGTTGCTCATTATATCGACATTCTGAATGAAAAACACCACTCCCCGAGATGGAGGGGAAATTGAAGGGTCTTTATCTGCAAGCACACCATCTTAAGGTAAGGGGACGGATCAAGTACACACAAAGTATGGAGTACAATATACCCCCCTTGAAAGGGTTGTACATATACTTAGTAAAGATGGTGGGAATAAGCAACTAACTAATCAATTGATACATAGCAACCAGGAAACAAAACTAACAAAGGGCGGGAAAAAGAGAGAAGAGGCAAAAAAAGAAAAGTAGACGAAGGATCGTGATCGACGTGTACCTACCTTGAGGATTCATAAATATGGCCGAATCGCTGCACGAAATCTGCAAGGACCTGAGCGAATGCACATGCAGAGAGAGAGACCAGAAAGGTCGTGAGGCCTTTTCCCTGCGTGGTGTCGCGTTGTGACTCGTCGGGTTCCATCCGCGTCCCATGGGCCCTTATCGTCATAGGTCCTGTCCCGTTCTCCGCTCTGACCTGGTCGGGAGATGGGATGAGCCGAAACTCGACGGTCGTTCATTCATTCATTCATTCAATTCGTAGATCGTTTGCCGTTTACAGCCACACCTCAGCCCTTTTTTTCATTGTTCAATCACCTTTTGGATCGACCATTATTTTTGCCCTACTGTACAGTACAGTTGAGCTGGGCGGCTGAATGGCAAGTAGATAGATGTTAGCTGAACTTTATGGATGAATGGAGAGAGGCGGGAGGGAGGATGGGGGCGCTGAAATGGCGGTCTTAATAGGATTACTTATTTTTTTTTCTTCTCTTTTTTTTCTAACAGGGGATTAAATTGGCCCGAAGAAACTCTCAACCACAATCAAGGACCGGGTAAAACTGGCAGCGCCTGGACTTTGTGGGAAAAGTTCAATGAAAGGAAAAATGGCCCCCACCCAATGCGCCCCAGACCCATGGATCGTGGAGCAAGCTAGCCTGCTACTTGTCTATGACGGAGGACTAATCGGGTACCCAGGAGACATTCGAGAAGCAAGAACGGTCCATGTGGAAAGTGGATGGTGCTATACTCTGAATAAGTTAAATTGTTGAATTTTTCTTTTCTTTTACTCACTAGCACATTTGGAGAATGAATTGATCATATTTATGGGAGGTATATTACCTATTTACACACAAGTACCGTAGTAGTCTGTGGTTCACGTTAATAATAGATAGATAGTGGCCGACGGGGAGAGATGGTCAAAGCGAGCAAGACTAAATAAAAAGAAAATAAACGGAAATCGATCAACTGATTGACTTCCAAACTAAATAGATACTAGAGACAAGTATGCTTGCTGCCAGGTTGACTTCTAGTGAGGAAAAAGCGAAAAGGTAATCAACAACATTTCATTCCAATTGAGGTCATAGCCCAAGAAATTCCGCACACACAAGGTTTGTTGTGGGTGTGGATTTAGCTGCGATTATATAAAAAGAAAAATGGATGAGCCCAGCAGTAGTAAAAAAAAAAAAAGGGCGACCATTCATTCCATGTGAGGGCGACTCCACTGGGGGCAGCTCGAACCATGGAAATGAGGTCCATGTGGTGCCCATTGGTCAGGATCCGGGCACGGGCGGCTCGTACGGTAATTTTGGGCCACCGCAGCCTGTCATTGACATTACATGTTTACAACCAGTACCGCCCGCGCCTAATCGGGCAAGTCAGATTGCGGATTCTGGAATCCCACGAGTTGTTTTTTTTTTGTTCGGTGTTCTGAGACAGAATTCCTTCAGCCTCGTGAAGGGCAAAGGGGGGCGCTGGCTGATTCATGGCTTTTCCCATCGTTCCAGAATTTAGCTAGTTTGTTTCATTCAATTCACAATGGGACATGTGGTGGTATTATTCATGTCTATGATCTAAACTCTAGTGCTTGTCTGTATTGATTTAGTATTTACATTAGCACTTACTTAGTATAAGTTCTAACTAACTCTCAGCTTTGCCTCGACGCGCACGCGACGCGACCGACCAACCGACTGACTGACTGCACTGCAGGATCCCGTGTAGTAATCAATAACTTTACCTACTTGGGAGTTGGGAAGAACCAGTCAACGCAACTTCAAGTGGCAAGAAATACGAGCGTCATCAATTCCGGGAAAAGGAAGGTAATTAAATTAATTAGCTCCAATAAGTCTGGGGAACGATCATCATCATCAATAACATCATCATCATGATTGTCCCATGGAAAAGGTCATTGGCATGAGCAAGGGAGCTGTTCTCTCTATCTATGGATTTTCCTTCCCTTGATTCCATGTGTATCGTGAGCAATTTCCGAAAGATGGGGAAAGGGAGGGAGGTGATAAAGAGATCGATCTAAACTATTGAAAAAGTCATAATAACTACGGATTATTCTACCAGGAATAAGGCTGCCTAGTGTTACCCTTTCCTAGCTTGGACCACCCTTACTTCCAACTACACGGGAAGAAGAGTCAATGATGATTATATCAATACGTATCCACCACCAGAAGAACACTTTCATTATCAGTAACATATTTGCCCATGCAGGTATATCATTTTAAGATACCACATATGCACATACATGAGAAAGCAAGTAGGGTCGGGGTTGGTTACACACTATCATGCCGCTTGCTTGTTAAGCAGCCCCCGTCCGTCCCTTGCAGATTTCCGCCCTCCTTTTCTCCTTGCCTTTGCACTCGGCCGTTATCGATGCAAACATCCCACCCACCCACCACCAATCTGACCTAACCCTTTCTTTGCTTCTCGGCTGGAGAAACCCTCAACCAGGGATTCCTCCTATAAGTACCTTGGGCTGGAAATCTGATACAGGACAGGGCCTTTGTTGTATTCTTTTGTTGCTGAAAATGGAGGATCCATATATTGAACCATGGATGTCTCATATCCCAGATACCAGATAATAAGCATGTCCCAGGGAAGGGAAATTTCTAGCTGTGTTTCATATAGGGTGAAACCGGGCTGAAGCTGAAAAGTCTCATAAGGTCACGAACAGTATATCATTTTTTAGACGCTCTACTAACTAACTAGGAATCTCTGCTACTGTGTTGTGCAGTGCACAAGTACAAGTTCGTACGAATCATCCAACAATCACCTCTCAACGACCCACTCATTTCCACTACTCCAGCTGAGGTAGGGTGGGTGATTGTTTGGATCTCTCACCAGTTCAGCAAGCAACATCCCCACTCACTCACATCGATCCGGTCCCTCCGAACAGCTAACGCGGTCACAGCCTCTTTCTTGGTTCGTGTGTTAGCTTCGGTTGTTAGAGATGTGGATGCGGCACACTTGCTCTGCTGGAGCAGGGCTTATTATTATTATTAATATGGCCTTTTGTTGGGCCGGAAATCGGGACAAAGTCACTGAAGTCTAGACTGCTACTGTTGCCTCTGGCATGGTGTAGTATATTGTGGTAGTTAGAGAGGAGTGTTGAGCTAGGTGATAGCGACTAGTGAATGATAGAACCAAACAAAGTATGACTCCAAGCACTTGTCATGCACCCTTGATATCAGATATAAGACCAACAAACCAAGTATCCTCAATGTCCTCAACGCCATAGACCCCTGATAACTAGTACTGCCCATAAACACCATATCCACCCCATACACACAACACCACATCCCATCAAACCAACCAAAAGTACAGAAGCTAGATATCAAACATCATCATCATCATCATCCTCCTCCTCCAACTCAACCACAAAATCCCCCGTATCACAAACCGCACCATCCCCAGCGGCCAAATCCTCATCACAAAACTCACCCACATTCCCCAACTCATCGCCCAACAACTGAATCGTCCTCTCATAGACCTTGGCCGTCTCCATCTCCCACTTCCCAGGAACAGGCATATAATCCTCCAATTTATTCGCATCCCCATAGACATCCTCGAACTCTTCATCCTCATCCTCATCATAATCATCATCCTCTGCCCCATTAGCATCCTCAATCTCCTTCTCTCTCTTCTCAACAACCAACACCCGACACGACTCGGCAATACTCTTAATCCGCACCTTCTCCGTCATAGACACCACACTCTTCTTCTCCCCGTTACCACTACTACCACCACCTAAAAGCTCCGCAAACACCTCATCCAACTTCCGCAGTAAGCGGAACGTAGGCGCCGCTGAGAAGGGATACTCGGGCAGATAGGAGTTGACTTGGATGGCTAGGGAGATGAGGTAGGGGATTTGGAGGGATGCTAGTATATACATCATACATCTCTATTAGCATTCGCTCAGAACACGAAAGAAAAAGGTAGAGGGGTACTCACGCGTCCCACTAACCCAAAGCACATCCACCAAACCCTCCAAATCCCTCGCTACTTCCTTGAAGCTTTCATAGCCCTGCACCTCTCCTTCTCCCTCCCTCCGAGGTTCGAACGACTCCGGGGAATAACCCGTCGTCGCATTGGAGTTGAATCCATCACCATCATCAGTAGGCTTGTAATAAGCACTACTGAATTTCTTTGCGTGTCGGCGCGAAATCCTCAGTAATGTCGTATCGATGTGATTAATCACGGTTGCTTCTTTGGCGGACCCTGCGCGCAGAGGATGCGTGCGCGGTTTGGGGAGGAGGGAGGGCGTGCTTGGTCGTGGGGTGGAGGGGGCGGGGGATGGGAGGGTTGGGGGGAGGAAACCTCCTGAGGTTTCTCCTGTGATTCCTCCGGTGGAGGTCATTGCTTTTGGTTGGTTGGGTGGTGAGGGGTGAGGTTGAGGTTGAGGTTTTTTTTGGAGTTGCGATGGTGAAGAAGAATAGTGGGGTGGTGGTGGTGGTGGTGGTGGTGTGGGGTAGGAGATTGCGTGCAGGTACGAGATAGATAGTCTTCTGAATTCAGGATGCTGCTGCCTCTGCTAGAGGTTATGGGTATGCATGTTGTTGTTTATTTCGGTGGGCTGATCTGATCTGATGCTCTTTGGTTGCTTCTGGATTGTTCGTCCGATGCGATGCGATGCGATGCGCCGACGATGTCATCGCCAAGCCGGGTTGGTCTGTGCGTTACTATATTGAATGTCGACGACTGATACAGTAGAGAATCTACAGATTACAACTATATGTGTAGAATAAGTTATGGACATCAAGTAATCATGTTATATATTTAGTCTACAAGAAGCGAACATATGCCTAAACCAGTAGCAAGTCAGCAACGCATCCAGAACTCATCTAGATAAGCACATGACGGAGAAAGAATTGCTTCAGTAGGTGAGAAGATTGGATTATGCTGGTTTTTGTAGACATGGCATGACATCAAGCAACAGCTGAGTCTTGCTACTCTGGCCCCAGCGGATTCATCATTTGCAGTGTAAACCATATGGAATAAGAAAAGTGTCAAAACTCACATCATCCGGCATCCCTCCAAGCCAATTCTCTATCGAATAAAGCATTTTTGGACGAACCCCCCAAACGCCATGCTAAACCGACCCAACAATGCCAAACAGGACGAAAGAACAGGATCACTCAGGCTGAGACACCGTTAGCATATATTACACATACCATATCCAAGGAGGGAGTAAACTTACTGCAATCTTCCCCTTCCGCTTCTTCATATCCGCCAACTTCCTCCTATCATCATCAAACTTCTTAAGCAGCTGGTTCTGCTTCTCCTTTCTCTTCTCACGAGACTGGAACCGATAGAAGTCCTCCAATCCCTTAGACTTCTCCTTCTGCTTCTCAACCAACTGCCTAGCCTCATCCTCATGAGCAGCCTCCGCCAACTTCGGCCCAGACGTAACAGTAATAAATCCATCCTCGTCGGGTTCCTGCGCCCTGCGCGCCTCCTCCCTCTTCCTGACCTCCGCGACCTGCGTGAACACCGTCATATAATCATTGACGGTGCGCAACAACTCCGCCCGATCCGGATACCTCAACTGCTCGTGGGTAATGTACCTCTGCAATCCCAAAGCAGGTACCCGATCGCCCTCAACACCCTCGCCCCAGACAATCTCCGTGCCCTTCTTCGCGGCCTTGCGCGCCGCTTTCAAACTCGCCTCCATGCTGGGCTTGTCGGCGAAGACGACGATCGCGTGCGACCCGCTCTTCTGAAGCTGGCGGTCCCACGTAGCGGGGAGGTCGACATCGTCCAGCTGTGCTTGGAGTTCGTCGGCCGTGACACGCTTGCGTTTCTTGCTGCTGGCGATGTTGCCTTGCGGGGTGGCTTGCATGCCCTTCTTTTTGGTCGGGACGGCCTCGAATTCCACGCGCTCTATGCGGCCTGCGGAGAGCTGGGTGCCGAAGAGGTGGCGCAGGTGGGTTTCGGTCGTGTCGACGGGAATGTTCACGATGAACATCGAGCGGGGAGTGTCGGCGTCTGGGATGCGAGGCTCATGGGCGCGGAGGTAGAGGTAGTGTGTTGCTGGTTTGGGATATGCTGGGGTTGCGGGGAAGTGTAAAGGCAGGATTGAGAATCCTGCGATCTCGAGATCTGCCTTCATGTTGTCTGGTACCCTCGGAGGTATTTGATTTTAGGTAGGGAGAGAAGGTAAAAAGGTGATCGGACTGGTAGGGGTTGCGGAAATTGTAGCGCCGCAAATTAGTTGGGCGGAGAGACTTTTTTTACTTTAGCGGGAAATTTTGCAACGGCAGTTTGGAAGGCGGAGAGAGCTGTTTGCGTTACCCAATAATCAACATCAACAGTACTTGGCCTCAATTCACAAACAACTTGTTGATGACATTGTAGTACATCGCTGTCGCAGGTAGATCGCTTCAGCAGAAATCAAAAAGAAAAAAAAATGTGCACTTTTAGCAATGCGCCACATGGCCGTTGCCCAGTTCTTCCCATACCCCGTCTCGAACCATATCTTTATCGGAACTACACCTTATCAGGATCGTTGATCCCACCATTAGTGATGACATACGTCGCCTCTCTTTCAGGGCAGTCTGATGACAGTTAGAGCGTTAACACGAGATGTGTACACTTGACAAACCTGGCGAGTCCTGGATCTTAGCCACTCGCTCCTCACCACGGCCCTTACGGAGGAGCACTCGAGTCGCCGATGCATGTGCCAGGACATGACCTCCAACGGGCTTGCGGCCATCGGCTCCAGCGAAGAGTGCACTAGCGCCAGGGTCACTCTGGACCTGGTTGGTCTGCATTACATTAGAGTATATCTGTCTGCATATCAACGGGGAACGTACCATCAGAACACAGATGTTGAATTCTGCGAGCGGCAACGTCAGCCCTCTAGTAGCACTATATATATATACCAAAAGTTAAAAACATACCTTCAGCCATATGAGCCAGCTTCATCAAAAACTGATTCAACTTCTGCTGACGATCAGCAAGCTCTCCGCGTCCACAATAATCGACCCTAAAGCAATTCATGATACTATCAATGATCAACAACCTGTACTCTCCACCAGCGAACTCTTTGCTGAGAGTATTCAACAACTCCAGCTGATGCTCGCTGTTCAATGCTCGTGCATAAGCAATATTCTCCTGAGAAGCATCAGGATCGACACCGAACCGCTCTGCAATCTGAGCGATACGCTCAGGCCTGAACGTTCCCTCAGTATCAATATATGCCACCTTGCCGTCTGCACCACCCAGTTCCTTGGGAAGTTGGGCCACGACGGACATGGTGTGGGATAACTGAGTCTTGCCGCATCGAAACTCGCCGAAGACTTCGCTGATACTCATGCTTTGGAAGCCACTAAGCAATATCAACTTAGCCTTTCCTCCTTCAGCAGTACATATGTGAAAGGAGAGAACTTACCCTCCCAAAATAGAATCAAACTGTTTACTCCCAGTAGAAATCCGAACAATCCTCTTTCGTTGATGGCATAGTTCCATTGCCGTGATGAACCCCGAAGCCGAGGGCTGTATATATCGACAGTTCGTTAGCACCTCACCCTGGCACGAACAATAACCCCAGACAGGACCATCATCTGCGGTGTATGCATACATACCATGCTTTTCTGAATAGCATCCTTAATCTTCTCGACCTTGACCTCACTGAATCCCTTTATCTTCAATAGATTCTTGCGGGTAGCACCGTGAACAGACTGAGCAGGTTAACAGCGAGGCTCGCTTTAAACATCAAATAATAGACCGGACAATACATACAGCAACAGTATAGTATCCGTTTGTCTTTAGCTTCGTGATATCCGCTACTCCGATACCTTGAACATACTATCAGTATACAGATATGAGAGGAAGCGGGTAGTGAGGGGTATATATACCATGGGCTTGGATTGTGTCGATATCAACGATGAAGACCTGTCATTGAGACAATGTTAATACAATGTTAGGAGATATTTAGACCATGCAGCAAGCGTCATTGCTCATAGGAAATGATGAAGAACGGGGTTAGAGGAATGGCTACATCATCATTGAACTCGTCGCTTGTGTCTGAGCCGGGCATGATTGTCACTTAATTCGATTGATATGGGGAGACGTGGAGGTTGGACAGAGATGAGAGATAGATATAGAGCTGATTGAATGTCAATTGCAGCCGCGAGCATGCAGTTGACCATGAAGGCAGCTGGTATGAGGAGTAGACTAGTCCAGCGTCACGGGGTCTGCTCGTGACAGAAGAGCAATGCTAAGCCCACCATACAATTGAGTGATGGCTATATTTCAATTCTCTACGAGCAGGGTGGTGACAGCATGAAAAGGCGACGTTTTTCACACCCAATTATTCGGTTAGCTGTACCCTGTAAGCTACTGATACGACAACATGAAAAGGCGACGTTTTTCACACCCAATTATTCGGTTAGCTGTACCCTGTAAGCTACTGATACGACAACATGAAGGCTTTATCCAACCCAGCTCTCAATACTGCAATGGTCCACTTTTAAATCTGAGATAATGCTTCTTTTTGATTTTGTCTTTGTTTGTTTTGCTTCCCATTTGACGAATATCTGGAGGATATAGTACGAAAAGATGAGGAGGTAACCACCGCGCCAGGTACCTGTAGACCATTCACTATCTTCATCACACACAATCCCATCCGTATCAACTTGAAGCCTCTTCCCATGCATATCAACGCGCTTGCTTCGGTCCACCAATGTCACTGCTGCGCTCACTTCAACTTTCACCTCGCCTGGCCTCGTCTCCCTCTTTTCTTTGCCGCACCTAAATTTTGGAAATGAAAAAGATACCCGAGGAGATCAATAGACGCCAACCATAAGACCCTGAGCCGTGTATAGGATCCAAGCAATAAAGGAACCTAAGACTTCGTGAAACTTTTGTTCGTCGTATACATAATAGGAATAGAAACCGGTCGGTGCCGAGAAGTGGAACAGGAGGGGCGCAATATATGCAAAGGAAGAAACCATGGGAATAATGAAAAAATGAGACCGATATCGGCAAACCCTATTACAAAAAAGAAAGAATGGAAAATAGACTCCCAGAAATTGGGATCAATCAGTCATTAAATTCGTCCTCTATGCGACAGCGGTAGTAGGAGCCGCAGCAGCAACGGGAGCAGCCTCCGCGCTGACCTCGGCAGCGGCGGCGGCAGGGGCAGCAGGAGCAGCAGCGGCGTCAACGGGCTGCTGAGCGACGGCCTCGTTGTTGGGGCAGTCGCGGGAGATGTGTCCGGCCTGGGAGCACTTGTAGCAGACCTTGCCGGCGGAGCTCAGGGGACCGCCGTTGGGGGCAGTGCAGTCGCGGGAGATGTGACCCTATAAGATTCCGGTCAGCCTCAATGTCCGTATCGCATCAGGTATAAAAGGAACACCTACCAGCTTGCCGCAGGCGTAGCACTTCATAGCCTGAGCCTGGCAATCACGGGCGAAGTGGTTGGGGCCACCGCACTTGTAGCAAGTAGCAGCACGGGGGTATCCGTATCCACCACGGAAACCGCTGTTGAATCCGCCGCGGGGAGCAGGAGCCCGGGGAGCACCGGAAGCAGGAGCGGGGCAGTTGCGCTAGGAGAAGGTCAACGGTTTTGCCCGGCGAACAAGAAGTTAGGAGCGACGAGAAGACGTACGGCAAGGTGACCGGGCTGGCTGCAGTTGTAGCAGCGGCCGTTGGCACCGTTAAGGCGCAACGTAGGACAATCGGCCTGAACGTGGCCCAGTCCCTGGCAGTTGTAGCATTGCTTGGCTGGATCGGAGATATATCAGCATTCCGGTGCGTTCCAACCACGAGGGCCGAAAACCTTACTCTCAGTCGTACGAGGACGCGGGCAGCTGCTGGACTCATGGCCTGTCGATTGATCGATCAGAGATCTCGTTCGAGCGACGTGACACACAGAAAGGACCTACCAGGCTGCTTGCCTGTTGGACAACGTAATTGAATCAGCAAATGATGCACAATGAATAAGCTGCCAATGAACAGGGTCTACTCACAGTTGTAGCAGAGACGCTCAGAGGAAGAGCAGACCTCTACGTCAGCCCGTTAGCAAATTCCAGCATGGGCCAAGGCGTTTCCTTCCCAAAGCAACTACTAACCAGCGTAGTGGCCAATGTTGCCACACTTGTAGCAGGCACGACGAGACAACAACATTTTGTCGGTAATGATTGAGCTATAGAAGAGGAAGTCACTCGGTCAGCGCTTCTGGTCCATGCTTGTTAAGATCCCGCGGCTGGAAGAGCCATTCGCATCGGCATAGCAAGTGGGCGTCATAGAACACAATTCGTCGGCGGCGCAACTAGACGGAAATCATATATTCCATGCGCTCAGCTGCCGCGGACGAAGTGTAAGCGACTGGTTCCTCCACTGCCGAGTTCATAATGGAGGTTTGTCTTCCATGGAAGTAGGATGCGGACAAAAAATCGGCCGAAGAATGGGTGGAAGGAAATGAAGTCGCGAAACGGCCACGGGAACGTATTGAAGTCACGAGGAACATCTGACAGCACTCACTCTTCCTAAATCCAACAACAGATCTTCTAATCTCCTTGTCAATAGGACTGTTCGGATTGTCAGCTTGAGAACCTTGGAGGAGGAATAGCAGCACTTCCGACAGCCCACTCTTGAGACTCGAAAAAGTGGGCTGACAAAGCCAAAAGCGACACCGAATGGGGAATAACGATAGGGAAAAAAAGACAGAAAAAAAAAAAAAGAAAAAAAAAAGAAAAAGGCACACAAACCCAGCACTGAACACACTCCAAACTAGACCTCACAGCAACACCAATCCCTCCGAACCACGAGAGACGAATAAGCAAAAAAAAGATAGCTCTTGAACAAGATTTCTCCTGACACACAAAGACGGATGAGTAGAAAAGGATTTCGAATGCAACAACTTAAGCGATGAAGCTAAGCAAGGAAACGGAAAGAAACCAGTGTCGCAGGGTTTCTTTTTCCGTACGGTAACAAGAAAGATACCGGTTCGAATCGAAATTTACCATGGGTCCCGGTTGTTCCCGTATCGCGTAAGGTGGTTGATTCGCTATTCTATTGGTTGTGAGCTCTCGCGTGCGCACGGCCTGAGGCACACGTTCCGGTTATGACTTGTATGGTCTTGATTACTGGGGATTGGCGGTACATGTTCGAAACCGTCCGTCTGGCAGTTGTCATTCTCGATGACATGCAGCTTTGTGGCGTGGTCTCTCGAGTCCGGTGCACTTTTCTTTTTTTTGCTCCTGGAGCAGACACGTCCGAAGTTGGGGTTGGACTATTGCGAGACGGCCCAGTCTAGACCTGGCTTTGCGAAGACCGAGCTAGAATCATGTAGATATAGTCGATCTGTTGGAAGTATACGAGGAAGCCAGATCGGCGAGCTGTATGGCCAGTGTAAGTTCCAGCGGTAGTGAAATCTATGACCGCACCTAAGCTGGCTGGTACTACTAATCAAGGCCCCCGGCGTGCAAATCATGGATGCTCTCAAGCTTTCCTTGTCACCCTCCCAAGGTTCGCCCACGGGCTTTCCTACGGTACGCCTCGATCGCGTCGTACAGAAGAGTATTTGGGACGTGAGCTATCAACATATTTGGCTTCAAAAATGTAACCCAGCCTATACACAGCGGGCGGTTGATTTATGCATTATTAGTAGTTCCATACAAGCTGTCCTAACTCCCGCAATATGATGATTCCATTTACTCTTCCTTCTCAACCACAGCCGGAGCCTTGAGCTCACGACCCTTGAGGAATTCCAGCCCTTCTCCACCCTGTAACTCAAAGTCAGTCTGGGTTCTCGTACGCATGTGATAAAGCAATGAATTTCATCGATGCAAATACGGAAACACTTACGTAGCTGATCAGAGGCGAGACTTCCACGCCAACAGCCTCGCCTTCAGTGACAACGACACCACCGGCCTTCTCGATCCAGCGCTGGCCCTGCTTCATGATGTCGGCCTTGCTGGTGTCGGGGTCATCCTCACCAGTGCCGCGGGCGTTCTTGAGGGGCGAGAACTCGTCCTCACGACGCACCTCAATGCTGGCGAACTTCTCCAGAGGGGTCATGGGGAAAACGTCAAACACGAACTGCTCGAGCTTGATGCCGTTGGGCTTCTCGGGCTTGAAGGCCTCGCCGGTCTCGGGCCTGATGCAAGGGATCTTCTTGCGGGCAACGTGGTGAGGCAGCTTGTGAGACCAGCTCTCAATGGATTCGAAGAAACGGAAGGAGTAGTAGTGGTTGACAATGTTGGCGGCACGGAACTTCAGGACATCGGGCTGCTTGGGGTCCTTGGCCTCGGCCGTCTCCTGGTCAATCTCAGAGTATTCGACGACGTCGGGCTTGCCGTTTCTCTGGAGGATCAGACCGACCGACTCGGTAGCGTTGCGCTTACGGACAACCTTCGTAGCGATGTCGACGTCCTTGGAGGCAGCAAAGCCGATGAAGACAGGGTCGGCAACCTTGACCAGGCAGTTGTCGACGCAGTAGGTGTGAATGTGCTGGATTCCACGCTTGCGCATGTCCTCCCTGACTCCGGAAGTCAAGAGGGCAAGGTAGATACCACCGTTGCCATCAGGAGCAACAGCCGCCTAAAACACAGGGTCAGAGGGGGGTTGGGGTAGGAATGTGAATGCTTGAAACGCACCTTAGACTTGCTCTCCATCAGAATCTTGCCCTCGTTAGAGATGCAAGGCAAGACGCCCTGCTCGAAGATAACCACATTGCTCTTGTCGAGGCCGAAGTAGTTGTGCTGCTGGAAAAACTCCTCTGTGGGTTTACGGGTAGGTCCGCTGGTCATGACATACCAAGGGATGACGGCATCCTTGCCGGAAGACTTCTTCGCCAGGAGCTGGAGCTTAGCAATACGCTCGGCCTGGATCTGGAAGAGAGATTTGTGGCTGGGGAGACCGATGTCAAAGCAACCCTTGGGGGCGGAGCTACCCAGACGGGTGCCCTGTCCACCAGCCATCAACACCACAGCGACCTTGTTGCCAGCAACCAACTGCAGACCCTCATCGTACCACTTCTGAATATCCTTGGGGTCCGAATCCAGGATCGATGCGGTAGCCACTTCGGGGAGGGGTTCGAGGGAGACGGGGCCTTGCTCGGCCTTGGGAGGGTTCAGAGCCTTCTCGGCCAACTCGTTGATGCGGACGGGGTCGAAGTTGTTCAACTGGTGGAAAAGCTGGGTCTTCTCGGCGGGCTTCAGCTCGTCAACGAAGGCAAAGACCTGTCCTTGCCCGGCATCGGTGTACTTCTTCTTCAGCTGCTCGAATTCCTCGGGGGAGGGCTCACGGAGAGCGGGCTCGGACTGGCCATGGATAAGGTTGGAAACGGTTTCTTTGATCGCAGCAGCGGCCATGATTGCAGATGATGGATTAAAATAGATGGGATATGATAATATGATGGGGAGGAGGGAGAAGAGGATGGGATGGAGTCTGAAGGGAGAATACTAGAGGGGTATAGAGGGGAAAAGAAGATGGAAAGAGAGCAAGGGAGGAGGGGTGTACAGGGTGTGAAAGCGCGGGGGATCTGTCCGTCAAGAATAAATATAACTAGTTAACTCAACATGCTACGTAGTCATGCTGCAGCGCAATATTATTGACCGCCTGGATCCCTGAGAGTTTCAATTGATTATTTTTAGACGGACTAGCGACTGCCGCAGATACATTATTATGACTTATGAGGGGCCACTATTCCCTCACGCCCATGAATTGCTCGATCGCAGCCCTCCATCCAGCTTGTTGCAGCCAATCGTCTCTTCAGCTGTTGGAGGGGCCGGCGGGGCTCGCCGTGGACCCGGTTTCAGGCTTTCAGGCTTTCAAGCTCACCGACTGGCGCCAGTTCAGATCTGCTCGTCCACCTGACCCCTGAAGAGGTTCCTGGATCGGGTCTGACTAAGAGGATGAGAAAAAGAAGGGGGGAAAACCAAGATGGGACCTAATCTACTAAACTATGTATGGAGTAGTTTAAAGTGCATGGTAAAACACACACTTTCGCTTTACAGAATGATATACCTATTAAGGTTGTATTCACACATCCGTCATTCTTCATGACGGTATCTTTGAAAATGGCATTATCATATGGTTAATTTACATTATTTTACCCCAAAGCATCAACGACGTCGCCTTTCCCGGTATCTATCGTCATCTCGGCGATCCCGTCGCCGCTCACCGTCGTTATGTCGACGGTCTCGGTCCCCGTAGGAATCTCGCCGTGGTGGACTCCGGCTGTAGGATCGATCTCGGTACCGATTACGATATGAGTCCCGCCGAGGACTCCGACTGACTCGCCTTTCCCGTTGTGGCTTCCGCGGTGGGCTTCGACTGTAGGACCGCTCGTCCCGATTAGATCTCGCCTTGGGTGCATTCTTATCGAAGACCATGTGATAATCATCGTCTCGTTGACGAGTGTTCTCTGTTGCTCGGTACTGGCGCTTCTTTTCGAGGCCAGCGACACCACCAAATCCACCCCGCTGGCCGCTGCGCTTGGTGATCGTAGCATTGCGCCAGCTCTCGGACAATTTAGATACCTATTTTTGTCATCACTGTTAGTCCATGTTGGATAAAGGTGCGCGGATAATAGACTAACACTCTGAGAGAAATCAACGTGGATACGGTGGTCATCGATCAAGACACCCTGCATCTTGAAGTATGCCTGTTCGCAATCCTTCTGGTTCTCAAACTCGATGAAAGCGTATTGTAGACTGTCACCCGTACGCTTGTCGCGGATGACCTCACATGACAGAATGGGTCCGAAGCGACTGAAGATCAGGTTGAGGTCCTCATCTAGTAAATGTGTGAGTTCAGAGCGTGACCAAGGCGCGATTTAGGATGCATACCTTGAGTGACTGGATTCAACTTGCAGACGAACAAGACGTTCTCTGGCGGCTTGACCTCGGCGAAGGGAAGATCGCCAACCATTTCCAGCGTCAACGCCTGTGCCCTTGCTTCGCGCTCCCGTCGCAGCCTCTCCATTGACTCCTCGTCCATGTCGTCATCCAAGTCTTCATCATCGGCGATTCTCACCGTAGCCAGCTGTGCCTTGGACGGCACCGGGCTCTCCGGTGGCTCCACCAAGCCTTCGGGGTCTTCAAAAGGATCATCCAGGATGACGGTATGACGAATACGTATGTCTTTGAGTGGCCGGCCGCGATCATCAATAAAGGCCTCGTTGACTTTCTCCAGGACGTCAAATCCCTCCACCACTTTCCCGAAGATCACCGCCTTGCCGTCCAGGTAATCAAGATTGTCTCCAAGAGTGATGATGAATTGGCTGGCGGCGATGCGCAGATCAGGGTCGTTGGGGGACGGTACGGTGGCCATGCTCACAGTGCCGCGTTCGTCATGCTTCAACTTGGGCGGGAGCTGGAGGGGAAATGTCCGCTGGGAAGGGCCCTGCAGCAAGCCCCATATCGACGATCCACCATCGCTTTCTGAGGAGTCGGGCCCAATCGGATCGCCAGTCTGGAAGGTGAAATTCTTTTGAACGCTGTGGACGGGCGAGAAATTATAATATTTAACTTTGCATAGCTTCAAAAAGCTAAAGCGGAAAACCACAGACAGCTTAGTTCCTGTTCAGCCACTCGATTTGTACGCGCGCAAGAAAAAGCACCGCAGCAAAACAGAAATCGAAGAAATAGGGGAGTGCTCACTTTTCGCACGCTTTGGGCGAGTCATCGACCAGCAGGTCGATGACAATGTCACCGAGGGAAGTTTCCAGCAGGACACTCATGGCAAATACCCGGCCGCTGCGGGCGATGCTGCGAGGATCGACGATGCGTTAGACAGGAAGAGGAAAATGAGGGACAAGGACAGGATAAGGTCCCGGAAGAAGATGAGGCGCTAATAGGCCCGAACGATCAAGGGTTGGGATAGTCAGGGAAAGAGAGAGAGAAGGTAGGGTACGTGAGTGAATACACCGAATGATGCAAAAGGACCAGGATGGATGCCGAGGAGAAGCGAAGCTCTGCTCTACGGGGCGGCAGGAAGACGCGAGTCTGTTTTAGTTAAGTTTTGGCGGGCCAACGGGTTCAGCATCGACTCTTCGCCTTGACTGGCGCAACAAATGTCACGAATCATGCGCACTCAAGTCCCTGCTGCCCAGTTAGATAATTCTTATTCTTATTCTTCGTTATTATTTGTTTCATTAGTCCCATTCTATTAATTTTATTTTATTTTATATTATTTTATTTTTTTTTTTTTCTAAATCCTGGTCTAGTCGTCGATCAGCTACCAGCTACTTTTGTACTTTGTACCCAAAGTACAACTAGTCTCTCTAGTCTACTTACAACTACGCTAGACATTATCTACTAAACAGCTGCTAGATATCTCTCACTCATGATCAATTGATCAATCAATCACCACCTCAATGCAACTAAATCATCCAACTGTCGATCAACCAAACCCCGGCCAGGTTGGTACTAAACTACTTATGGTCTGGCTCTGGCCAACGGGGTAGACTATATCCTGGTCTAACGACAGAATGACAGCAAGATGACGGGCTCACGGACCCTGAAGCATCGTGCGCTGCTTCGATCATTCTCGGCGCCTTTCGGGGTGTTCCCAGTTCCCACTGTCGGATGGTCGAACCGGCGCTTCCTCCTCCCGTGTAACCGCCGTCTTTCTCAACTGAGCGGCATGACTTCCGGAGAACCCTGTTGGACGAGAGCAATTAAGGCAAGAAATAGTTTTACACTAGGCTTGGGCCGAGATCCAGCAGGCACTGTTTGTTGCTGTGACGGAGCTGTTGCCGTTGGCTCCATGCCACAAGTTACCGGCTGTGCAGGCCGTCGGTTCTACGGAGCACAAAGCAGAGAGCTTTGGAAGTAAAGGGAACCAAAGGGGGCAAAAATGCACGAAAATTCGGACTGAACATGCTCAACCAAGAATCAACAGGTACACCACGGGGAATTGACCCGGCTCAGCAATAGAAAGAGAAGAGATGCAATTAACGGATATCTGATGCTTTGGGATGTCCCGTTCACTGCCCCGAATCCCATCTGCTTCGCGAGTTTCACTACAGGGGCGTTGGAAAAAACGGGCGGTCTCTTGCAGCTAGATCCAACAATCGCTCCATCGTTCGATCAATGACTCGGTGCAGCTATGCCAGCAATCCTCTGCTATCTACTAGAGACACGTGGTGTACTTTATCTAACCCGGAGCCCCTTTACAATAAGGATCGACTCAGGGCGCCGTTAGGGAACGAGGAAATGAAATGGGATTCATGATCTCCCAAGGGGTCCCCTATTCGGTGGCTGGTCCTATTGCTAATGGCAGAGGAGTTGACCCAACCACTATGTGATAGTGAGGTGAAAGAAGTAAAGTGGCTATTCCACCTTTCAGCTTACGGCTAGGACTTTGTTCTCGTCATTTTCCTTTTTCTTCACTTTTAACTTTCTTTTTTCTCAGTTCTTAATTTTGTCCCTCTGCCCTTTCAAGCTGCCCCTAATCTCTCCGCGTTAACCTCTCGTTTATCTGTATCTATCCCACGTTCTTTGTTTTTCTCAGCTCATTTCGTTGGCTACTGATCTTGAAACATAAGATTCCGGGTCTTATCTCTGTGTGATCTGCCTTGATCGCCAACCAAAGACACACTAACCATTTTAGCTCCGTTCGCTGATCTTGTAGTTTCCGTGATATTCATTACTTTGCAACTACCTTACAACTGACAGGTGGAAACCGTTCCGATCTGGGCCAATCGTTGTTTAATAAACTGGTGGGTTTGAGCGCCAGCAGATGCTGACACTTTGACAGCCCCTGCCAGGCAGTGAGGATATGTACCAGACCCCGTGCCCCTGAACCTCATGCATACTAAGATCTCCCATGCCCCACAGCCCTTGTCAGGCCTCGTCGGGTTCAGGAAGTACCTCGCCATTCTCTTATTCGCCAGAGAGCACTTCCCTTTATTCCTTTTTTCTTTTCTGCTTTTTCTCAATGAGGCCAGACTTTCCCTTTTATTGTTCGGGTCTCCATGGCAAAACCTGGAATCCAGAAGCCATGCATACTAGTGCAGATCCAGTCCCAGCCCGGTGACCGGGACACAGTTTTAAAGACGTTCCATTATATATCAGGGCTATTCTCTGGTCCAGTCTTGGCTGCTAAGCCACATTGTGATGCTTTACTGGAAACGAAATGATCCAATCGAGCCCAGAGGGTGCTGTGATTTCTTGTAATGAGATAATGAGAATTCTAGGAAACCAAGCTTTCCGAGAAAATGGGGCGATCTCATTGGAGCACGTCCGTTTGCACTGCAAGCTCAAGCTCGGTCATGTATCCGCCTTCTCCTTACCTTGACAAGGAACCCCAATATCTAAAGTGTCTCGTGGCTAGACAGTCATTCGATCCGATTCGAGACGGATGCTGTATGCCAAAAGTACTGACTATTTTAGACGTGCAGGTCATTTATAAAAAAGGGAAGAAGAAGAACGAGGGTTGTTTGATACCGGCGGCTGCAGCCAATAGCATTATCTTATGTCGACCATTGTCCTATCATTGGCAAACATGCACACGTTCATTGCTCCCGCAACCCCCCGTCAGTAGGGTAGGTAGGTGGGCGCATCTGAGAGGGTTCCTGCAAACGTAGCCGGCGGCTGTC